CCAAAAAAATGATATCCGCTACAGAGGTGTCAAGGAAAAGGCTCAGATGATAAAGGTCTATATTGAAAATCAGAAGCCAATGTGGCTCCATCCCTCATGACTAGAGCCCTTGGCGCACGCAATAGCGTGCGTAGCCGCCTGGTTAATTGTAAAAACATTAGAACAATGTAAAATTCTACCTCTTCCTCTTTGTGCAGCAGGAATGACGTAAGCCAGCAATTCTTCAAATTTGACCGTGTGCTCCTCTGTTGCCAGCCTGAAATTCAGCATTTCCCAAGTTGATTTACTTTGAAAATTCAGGATGCACCTTGAGCAAGAGAATCTGTGGCAGGGGGGATGCTAACAGTTGGCATCTGAATGATCGATTTACCGCCTAATAGGAAGTTCAAAGAGACTGGCAATTCTGCTTCCAGAAGAGAAACCACTGGGATTGTGAAGCGCTTGAGACTATTGGAAATTCATCCGTGGTGATCCGAACTCCGTTCCGCTTCGAAAAATGGCTAGGTAAAGTCCGCAAGTGGCTTTGTGTTTGAACTGCACGTGGTAGCCATTATGGAGTCAGCAGCACTTCTTCCAACCGATCCTTTAATTGCCCAAAGAGAAGAAAGCTATTAAAGAACTTGATATAGGGTTTTGCTAGCGATACAAAGGTGTGATAGCAGTTCATACGCTGACGTGCATGTTATCTATGGCATCTTATCATACTTACTTTTCACTGCGACTTGGTGGGAGGCTCTATGTATAATCTCTAGTTGTATCGTCAGAACCACAAAGACAAACTCACAACCGATATTGTCAATCGAGGGAAAAGAGAGAAGTTTAGCTTACTTATCCATGAATATCCTTCTTGACTCGAACGCCATCACTTCAATCACCTTTGACTCATCGGTCAACTCATGCCGCATCGTTGCGATTGTCCATTTAGTCAGATCTCTCGGCGTAAAAATATAATGGCCTGGAATTGATAAGTTTGATCATAGCAACTCCAGAAGCCTATGAGTGCTAGCCTAATTGTGTTACAGAGTTACTGAACAGGAACTGAAAATAGTCAAGGCAGTAGATAGATAAAAATAATCAAATATTGGATCTTTTGAAGAGGAACCTCTATCAGCAGGGCGAAAATTAGATCGGACTTCTTCATAGAGTCGTACCATAACTGAAGCCATAGCCTCTACGCGGACCGGTGAGCCAAGTGGAGCCTGGAAAACTGCATTCGGGCATAAGGCGCACCCGAATTCTAGAGGACGATATTTGAAAATATTTACTATACATGCCTCCAAAATAGGCATAAGATAGGCAGAATAAATAGCGTTCAGATTCTGCTCAGTTGGATACCCAATAGTGATTGTTCGCATCAGGGACATCAATCGTGGAGGTATAGAGGACTGAGTTGCCAAAGGTGCCATTGATGCCACTATCTGGAACTTGACTAAACATGAAGAAATGTCTGTTTTGAAATGGTTTAAATTCAAAAGATCAAGAATTTTTGAAAAAAATAAACTAGATAAAAAAATAAAACCCATACGGGCAGGACTGAGGAGTCACAGAGGAACGGATTCAAAGTAATGAGAAGTAGCATTCATTACCTCTGTTATTTTATAAAATTGCCAATTAGTTTGAAAGAATCCAGGATTCCTAGGGAAAGAGTGATTTCAGTGAGCTAGTTTCGAACGAATGCAGAAAGGCAGAACTCCGTGGTCGAATGAAAGCGAGTGGGCGAACAGGTGTGTGATCCTGTGGTGTAGTGGTTATCACGTCTGCTTCACACGCAGAAGGTCGCCGGTTCGATCCCG